AACGAGTTATCTCCATCTGGAAGAAATCAACGCGAACTAATTCTGAGATTCTTATCAAGGAACTCCATGATAAAATTGAGGAAAATTACGCGGATGATAACGCATCTTTGGATGAACTTCGGGAGCTCAAAAGGCAATTGGGCGATGCCTATACAGAGGAAGAAATATTTTGGTACCAAAAGAGTCGCCAAAATTGGCTAGCGCTTGGTGATAAAAACACAAAATATTTTTACGCTTTAACGAAACAACGAAGGGCGAAGAACAAGATTTTAGGCATTCTAGATGATAATGGGACGTGGGTGGATAATGAAGATGGCATCGAAAGAGTCGCGGTGGAATATTTTGAAAACCTGTTTACGTCATCGAACCCGATAGATCCAATCTCCGCCCTTAGAGACATCTCACCATCGGTTACCCCAGCTATGAATGAGTTCTTAGTCAAAGAAGTCACCGAAGAAGAAGTCAAGCGAGCCTTATTCTCCTTGAAACCAACTAAAGCCCCAGGTCCAGACGGGATGACTGCTCTGTTTTTCCAACGGTTTTGGGAAGTCATAAAAGGCGATCTCACCAACATGGTGAAGAACTTCTTTAGCTCCGGAATTTTTGACAGAAAGCTGAATGAGACCAATATATGTCTTATCCCTAAAGGTGAAAGACCGCGCGAAATGTCAGGTTTTCGTCCTATTAGCTTATGTAATGTAAGCTATAAGGCCATTTCGAAAATCTTGAGCCTACGACTAAAGAGATTTCTTCCGGAATTAATATCCGAGACGCAATCTGCATTCGTTGCAGGGAGATTAATCACTGATAATATCCTAATCGCCCAAGAAAACTTCCATGCTCTTCGTTCCAATCCGGCAAATCGTAAGAAGTTTATGGCACTAAAAACGGATATGAGTAAGGCCTACGATCGGGTGGAATGGGGGTTCCTCCGAGCCTTGATGGAAAAGATGGGATTTAACCTTCGATGGATAGACTGGATAATGCAATGCATTACCTCAGTTTCATATCGGATTTTGATTAATGGCGATCCAAAAGGACGGTTTAGACCATCTCGAGGCATTCGTCAAAGAGACCCAGTTTCTCTGTACCTATTTATCTTGTGTACGGAAGCACTTATCGCTCAGATTAGGAAGGCTGAAAGGGAAGGCAAAATTCAAGGGCTTCGAATTTCTTATGCGAGCCCTCGTGTCTCACATCTTCTGTTTGCCGATGACAGCTTATTTTTCTGTCAGGCCAATGCCGATAAGAGTAAATAAGTTATTGATATCATCCGCTCTTATGGCGAGGCATCTGGGCAAGAGGTTAATCTGAATAAATCATCCATTATGTTCGGTAACGAGGTCCCTCCCCCCGTACGGCAGGAAATCAAATCGATTCTTGGTATTTCACGTGAAGGCGGGATGGGAACATATTTAGGCCTTCCGGAAAAAATCCATGGATCAAAAGCTCAGGTCTTCGTGTTTGTGAGAGATAGATTACAAACTAGAGTAAACTCGTGGTCGTCAAAATTCCTCTCTAAAGGCGGAAAAGAAGTCCTAATTAAATCACAAGCACAAGCTCTTCCGACATATGTTATGTCGTGCTTCCTACTGCCAAAAGAAATATGCTCTAAACTTACTAGCGCAATTGCCAACTTTTGGTGGAGTAATAAAGCAGAAAGTCGAGGAATACACTGGATAGCTTGGGACCAAATTTGCACCCAACTATCAGAAGGAGGGCTAGGATTTAGGTCCTTGGAAGATTTCAATCTCGCACTCTTGGCGAAGCAATTGTGGAGATTATTACGATTTCCAGACTCCCTCCTTTGTAGGGTTCTTAAAGGACGTTACTTCCGGTATTCTAGTCTGCTAGAGATCACCGTCTCCAATCGACCATCGTTTGGTTGGAGAAGCATGTTGGCCTCCAAGGATGTTCTTAGATATGGAATCCGCAAGACCATTGGCTCGGGCTTCGGTACCTACATTTGGACAGACTCATGGATACCAGATACTCCGGCACACCCACCTAAGGGGTTAACGGTGGAGAGAGACACTTTGGCCTGCGTCAATACCTTGATTGACTTTGGATCTAAATAGTGGAAGATGGATCGTCTCCGAGAATTGTTTCCCTCGGAGGAAATTACCCTCATATTAGGGATTAAACCGAGTCGTTTTATCTCGAGTGATGGTTATTGTTGGACAAAAGTCTGGTAATTATACCGTCAAATCTGGATACGAGGTCGCGAGAAGTTTTTCTTGCCCTGTTTGCGACCAACCTTCTCAGGGACCTAGTGTTACGACACTTAAGGCGCAAGCTTGGAAATTAAAAACTACGCGAAAATTAAAGCATTTCGTGTGGCAATGTGTGACTGGTTGCTTGGCTTCAAGTCAACGATATTTTATCGCCATATTGGTAGAGATAATGGATGTTCAAGATGTGGTGTAGAAGAAGAATTAATCAACCATTTGCTCTTTGAATGTCCACCTGCTAGACAAGTCTGGGCTCTCTCCAACATCCCATCTTCCCCAGCGCTGTTTCCCTCGGCGTCGATCTACAATAACTTAGATTATCTGTATTGGCAGGGTAAATAGGCGGGTGCGGATGATGAGAGCCTAAGAGTATTCCCATGGATTATGTGGTATATTTGGAAGGCGCGCAATCGAAAGATTTTCGAGAATTTGAGCGTACAACCTCAGGAAACGCTAGATCTTGCAACTCAAGAGGAAGGCGCGTGGAGGCGAGCAAATCAGAGAGAAGACCCCCAGACCCAGTTGGTACTTAGTGCGCACGAGTCGCCATCCCCAGAGGACAGACCGGTATGCTCCATTGATGGGTCTTGGCTCGGGACGGAGACTAGAAGTGGACACAGGTGGCTTGTTTTTCAAGGAGGACGACTGCTACACTTAGGCTTAAAAGGCTCGCGTAGAAGTCTTTCTCCCCTTCATGCAAAGCTGGATACTCTCATATGGACGATGAAATGCTTATTGGCGATCCCAATAACGAGTATCCTCATTCAGACGGATTGTTCTGACCTATTGACTATGACACGTGCTCCTGAAGAGTGGCCTACGTTTTCTACAGAATTGAAGGACTTTACATATTACAGGGATCGTTTTACTACTTTCTGTCTTAAGCATATCCCTCGTAGTGGTAATACCTCCGTCGATTATCTTGCGAAATGTGCAAGAAATCGCGGGTTCTGTTTTTCTCATGTAAGTTCGACAGTACCTGATTGGCTCTCTCTAGAAGAGAGTCTTATTCCGTGAACAAATATATGGTGTTTGATTGGCAAAAAAAAAAAAAAAAAAAAAAAATTCCTCCTGTTCTGATGCTCTGGTCATTCCGGGAGGCAGAGTTCCAGAATATCTGGCATTGAACAAACATGTTCAAAAAAAAAAAAAAAAAAATTCATGAATTCTGCCACGGACAACAAATCTTAGCTGCCGCTGGTGTCCTCAAGGTCAGTATCGTTCCTTCCCAGTTCCAGCCACTACAATGTATTTGCGAAATTTATTTCGTAGTCGATATTTATTACATAAACATAGAATTGATTAAGAATCATAACAATGACAATTGATTTTTTTCTTTGGTTTTTTTTTTTTTTTTCATCTATTTTTTTTTTTTTTTCTTTGATTTTTTTCTTTGGTTACAAATAATTGTTTATTGGATTTCTTTATTGTACTTGTACCAACAATTATATCTGTTTTCCTCTAAATGATTTTTTTTTTTCTGTTTATCTTGCGTCGTTTGATCCTTTATAAAACAATATAAATTTATAAAAACCTTATCATATAAAAATTATAAACGTCAAATCTAATAGTCAAGAAATATCAAATACATCTAGAAGCCTGGACTCAATTCAAACTTTCTATTTCAATTTCATTTAAAAAAAAGTCTTGTAAATTAATGAATAATGATAACCGAGAAAGTAATACACTCAAATGGTCAAGAAAAGAACAGAAGAACCACCTTGGAACAAAAAAAGAATAAGTCAGAGAAGTAAAAATAATTGCGTTATACAAAAAAAAAAGGCATGTCTCATGCCCCCTAGGACGGACTGTCAAATCTCCTAAGATAATAAGAAAGATAGTTGATTAGATTACTTCTAAGAAAATAACATCAGCAAAAACACTTGTTTTAGTAGTTAAAAATCTAGAATAGCTTACGTAGATTAGGACATGCAATAAATGTGACCTTTGATTTCGCCTTATATCTCACACATTCCAGTTTTGGTATGTAATTTAAATTGCAAATCTTATAGTTTAATTTAGATCCTTTATCTCTATATACTCCTCATTAAACAAAACAATGTTATATAGAAATAAATTATAAAATAGAAAGTACTTAACATAATGGCACCCCTTAATATTCGCATATTCCTTTTAAAAAGCTAAATAAATTTTCATTAATTTGGAATTATGATATTTGCAAAAATTTTATGCTTGTTCCCCTACATTTTCTCGATTCATCTTGATCCCTTCCATATTGAACCATCTCTATAAATAACCTGAAAGTAGAAGAAAAAATATACACCAAATCAGCCAAAATTTAATTTAAGTAACCTTGATATCATAATCTACTATATCTAAGGTAAATATCTTTGTTAGTCTTGACAAAAAAAAGAAGAAGCAATAATATAGAAAGCCCTAACTAATTCGATCTCTATATAAGAGAACATCAATTTCCTTCAACACAAGTTTTCCGAGCAATATATTTAAAACTTTCCTAGGTATCAATCTTTTTTCCTCATGAAAACATAATTTTATCAGTTTTTTTGAAACAACCTAAATTGTAATGATTACGTCTTTGTTTATTTGTTTATGTTTATATGAAATTATGTTTTATTATTATACTAAACATTCAATGTCTTATGCAGATGACATTCGAGAGCATATGCTTTGAGTTTTGGTTGGAGTCTTTTTTCATATGGTTAGTGCCGGTCCAGCAAAATTTGTCTGATAAAAGAATCGGGCTTAAAAGTGCCCGGCCCAACAAATTTTTTTGCATAAACTCGAGATCGAAAAACATTTCGTCACTTCCAACCAAAAAGAACTCTAAAGTCTAAACCCACACACACTCACGCTCAGCCGCTCAGGTGAATCGAGAAACCCTAATTTCAGATCATGACGCGATCTGTCGTTGTTCAGGGCTGGAGATCCATTCTCTCTCGTCGCAAGTTCTGTTCGTCCGTTCGTAGCATAAAAAGCGGTAAAATCTATATATTTTCCCTTAGTTTTGGATCTTTTGGTGGTATTCCGTATTTTGATTTGTTGTTCTTTTTCCTTCAGCTAAAGATTCCGAAACCTTTAAAGCTTCGATTCTCCTAAGTAAGTATCTCTTCAGGATTTAGTCATTACTTATGCTTCTGTGGTATAGTATGTATGTCTCTATGGAATACTAACTTATTGCTTGATGCGCCTGAAATACATTTTCATTCATACATCGATGAGCTTTTTTGTGATTACTCTTATAGTCTCTAAGATGACTCTACCATTCACTATCTCTGTGATATAGTTACTGTTTGATAGAAAAATGATATAGTTATTACTTTTTCAGGCATGACAACATCTATCCTTGATAGGATAGATGAGCTTTTTATGATTTCTGCTATAGTTTCTAAGCAGATAGATGAAACAGATGATTTCGCAATTCCTTTTGCTATCTCAATTCTCAAAATCCGTGAATAAGGTGAATTTCCTTCCTTATTACTATTTATTCCAGAGTTCAAAAATAAATATCAGAGTTGAAGCAATTGTTTTTTGTTTCTGTAGGTTCTTGAGATACTTGGAGAACATGTTAAGATTTCCGAGAATATGGTTGTCCAACAAATTTTTATTTCCCGGATGAGGATGAGAACTAGCCAGCAGTTTAACCAAAAAAATTTAAACTCTTTAATACTTGAGGTATTTTATTCCAATAAGATTTTTATTTCTTATTTCTTCAATGTTATTGCAATTGACTGGTTCATTTGTTTACAGGCAGGCTCTCAAGTCTTAAGGAATCCAATGTCTGTTAACCTTGATGAGATTTATGTTGCCAAGATCTTGGGAGTAGACTCGCGCAAATCTTGCGTTGTCCGTGGTATCCTTTTGAAAAGTGATGATCCATTAGGCGAGTGGAAAATGCGAAGGTGATATATCTTTGTTTATGCTTTTGATTGACTAGATGAAAAGCTTTTTCTGAACAAATACATTTTCTTATGCTAGGTTGCTGTTGTCCCTGATCTCGTTCATACTGCTGAGCAGGTGATGAGCTTCTTTATGAATAAAGCATACGAGTTTTCTCCTTTTTTGCACTTAGATCTGTTACTGTATTTTTAAAATGTGGCTTCTATTATAGCTTTCTCAAGGATGGTTGTGTGTTTTTAATCGTTTACAGTTTTCCTCTTTTATTTTGGGTTCTAGGTAGAGAACTTTGGAAAGACAAAGGAAGCTGTGGTTGAGGCTTTGATTAAAGCTATTGCTGATTCAGGAGCAAAAGTCATTGTTAGTCGGTCATCAATTTGTAAAATGACACTAAATCTCTGCGAACTCTACAAGTAAGTGTTTACCTCAACATTTTAACCTACTTATTTTGAATTGTTATGTTGCACCTTTTGATAATACTGTTTTGGCAATACTGTTTTTTCAGGATAATGGTTCTGCAGATTACTTCCGAAATTGACTTTACCAGTTTCTGCTGTAAAGCTGGTGCAGTTGCCTCATCTCAGCTTTTCTTGCCTCAGCATCTGGGATATACTGATTCAATTTCAATAACAGAGATTGATGGTGCAAGACTAATGATTGCCGAGATTGGTAACTCCTCTACAATTGTTTTGTGTGGAACCAAATGGAGCCTCTTAAACAAACAAGAGAGATACATTACTCAGGGAATCGATACATACAAGGTAATCTGGGTGTAAAACAACTGAAGCTATAGTCTGTTTTTTACTGCAGAAAAGTTTAGGGGAAGGATTGACCCTATTAAAGACAAGATTCCAGAACATGTACTAAAAGTCGTAGAAGAAGAGCTTAAAAGCTGCAGCTGTTTGAAACCAGTTCCAGCGAATACGATGTGACCTATACCTTGATTGGTTGACCGTGTTGCCTTGGGGAAATTTCAGGTTTGCCATTTTCTTCATGTTTATGTCTTGAAGAGAGTTATATATATAACAGCATTTGTAATTCATCTTTTTGTACATTGATTGAGAACTCTCATTTATAATCATATTAATTTGGTTTGCAGTGATGAGAATTTTGATGTCCTACGGGCAGAAAAGATGCTTGACGAGGATCATTACAGATTATCTGAAGTAAAAGAAAGAATACTAGAGTTTATTGCTGTGGGAAGACTTAGAGGCACTTCAAAAGGTCGTATCTTTTGCCTTTCTAATTCAATCTTCTTTGCTAAAACTTTTTGTCCTCATCATTTTGTAAAATTTGTCAATAGGGAAGATCATACGTCTTTCTGGCCCACCTGGAGTAGGTAAAACTAGCATTGGGCGTTCAATTGCACGTGCTCTTGACTGCAAGTTCTTCCTGTTCTCTGTTGGAGGACTATTTGATGTTGCTGAAATTAAGGTATACACATGACAAAACTATGATTCAAATCTGTTAATAAAGTATTTATAGATAATAATCTATTATCTTATACATTGTTTAGGGGCACCGTCGAACATGTATTGGTGCCATGCCTGGAAAGATGGTGCAATGTCTAAAGAATGTGGGAACAGAAAATCCTCTTGTTCTGATCGATGAGATTGATAAGGTAGCTAGCTTGTTAGTATTTGAACTGGCTTTTTAGAGTTTGTAGTCAAAATGAATCTCTTGCTTCTTTGTTAAAGCTTGAAACTCTTTGCAATAATTGTCTATATATGTATCCTTGGCAGCTTGGAGTTAGGTGCCACGATGGTGACCCAGCCAGTGCAATGTTGGAGCTTTTGGATCCAGAGCAGAATGCAAATTTTCTAGACCACTATCTCGACATTACTATTGGCTTATCCAAGGTTTTCATGGACATTTTTTCTTCTCTTTACATTTGCAATTTTCTTTCTTTGTGATCCACCAAATTCAAGGAAAACCGGAATCCATTGATCCGATCTATGAATTGGTTTCATAATAGGAAGTTTGAGTTCAAACTTAGGTCTAATCAAATTTATTGCAGGTTTTATTTGTATGCACAGCAAACGTGGCAGATACCATTCCGAGTCCCCTGCTAAATAGAATGGAGGTGATTAATCTCTCAGGATACATTACTAAGGAGAAAATGTATATTGCGAGAGACTATTTGGAGAAAACCGCAGGCAGAGATTGTGGCATTAAGCCTGAACAGGTCTCACTCACAACCATTGTTCCCCAGTCTCCTGTCATTTCTGATGCCATTTGCTGTTTATTTTATTTTCTTATTGTTTGAATGTCATAAAAGATTTCGCTCAAGTTGTTTGTACCTCTTTCCAGGTTAATGTGAGCGATGCAGCTCTTCTTTCCTTGATAGAAAATTACTGCAGAGAATCAGGAGTTAGAAATCTCCAGAAGCAGATTGAGAAGATTTTTCGTAAGGTAAGTTTACAAGTTCACTGAACATTCCATACTTCTTACTTGGACCCCGAGGATCTGAATTGATTGATTTTCTTACAGATTCAGATTAAGAGCAATCTGTAATAAATGGATAATGGAAGATTTTGTAGTTTCAAATTTGTCTCATAATATCAGCTTTATGGATTAAATCTTTTTTACAAAGGTCCAAAGCGTGTTCTTCAAGTCAAGCTCTCTTTGAATTTCACCCAACTCTTTAGATTTCATGTCAAGCTGTTCACCTGAGATCGTTATCAGATTGTTTAATGCTTGGACTCTCTTTTCTTTGACATCAATGTCAAATTTGAAGTCCTTGCTTGATTCTAGAACACATTCCAACTCCATCTCTTTAGCGACAAGCTCTTCAGATAGTCCCTGGATTAACTGCCAGATAGAATCTCGCTGAGTACGCAAGACAACAAGCTCATTGGTATGTTGATCAATCAGCTTTTGGATTTCTCCTAATTCTTTGGATTTCGAGTCAACTGTATTACCGCAAACTGTTACCCTGTTGTTTAAAGAATGTATCATCCTCTCTTTCTGCTTCAGGTCAGAGCTGGAAAGCTTGATGGATTTTCTCACATATCCCAACTTCTTATTCGCAGAAAGTAACTTAAATGACCGAATCTTAAGCAGTTTCCGTCGCGACTCTAGTTGCCTATCTATCGTCGCAAGCTGTTTGCCCGATTCTTCAATCCTGTTAAGAATCAGTGCCAAATCTCTCTTCTTTCTATGCATGACACCAAGCTCATTGGTTTGTTGCTCAATCAGCTTTTGGATTTCTCCTAATTCTTTGGATTTCGAGTCAATCGTCTTACCACAAACTGATACCCTGTGGTTGAGTGATTCTACCATCTTTTCTTTCAGCTTTAGGTCAGAACTGGAAAGCTTGATAGATTCTCTCACGCATCCCAACTCAGTCTCTTTAGAAACTAGTTCCAGTGACTGTATCTCAAGCAGTCTCTGCTGAGACGCCAGTTGCTCATTCACAGTTGCAAGCTGCTTGCCAGATTCTCCAATTTTGGAAAAAACAAGTTCCAAATCTCTCTTCTTTATATCTGTCTCCTCTTCCATTTCTCTCTTAAGCTGAGTAAGTTTATTTTCCCCTGACTCTATCTGATTCTTAAGCAGATCTAGTTCCTTTTCTTTACCTTCAACCTCCTGCCTAACCCTTTCAGATCTTACATTTAAATTACTTGCTTCTGTCTCTGCTGCTTTAATCTCTTTAGCCCTTTCTTCCATCTCAGAGGAGCTTCTGCAAATAGTCTCCAAAATCTCCTTGCTTGTCTGCTCCTTAGCAACAAGCTCTTCAGAAAGTATTTGGATAAACTGCTTAATAGTATCACGCTGATTCTGCAAGACACCAAGCTCATTGATCTGTTGGTCAATCAGCTTCTGGTTTTCCCCTAATTCTTGAGATTTCGAGTCAATCGTGTTACTACAGTCCGTTATCAAATTGTTTAGTGATTGTATCTTATTTTCTTTCAGCTCAAGGTCAGAATTGGAAAACTTAATGGATTCTCTCATACTTGCCAACATCTTCTCTGTAGAAACTAGCTCCAATGACCGAATCTCAAGCAGTTTCTGCCGCGCCTCTAGTTGCTCATCTACCTTTGCAAGCTGTTTCTGACGCGCCTCTACTTGCTCATCTACCGTCGCAAGCTGTTTTCCAGATTCTTCAATCTGCTCAACAATCAATGATAACTCTTTCTTGTTTCTAGCTGTTTCATCTTCCACTTCTCTCTTACGCTCTTGAACATTACGAGCCTCACTGCAACGCCTCTTAATCTCAGCCATAACCTGTCCCAATTGGTTATCCTTTGACTCCAGCTCTCTCTGAATCCTTGTCAAAGAATCGAGTCTCACAGTCAGTAGATTCCTCTTGGACCTCAGTTCTTCAGTACACTCTTCAGCCAATTTCTTCAAATCACCAGCTTCAGATTTTTCTGCTTCAAAAGTTTGACTCTTTTTCTCAAGGTCTGAGCTCAAAATTTGCAGTTCCTTCTCCTTTAGCTCTAGCTCTCGTGACCTCTTTTTAATATTGGCTTCAACACTGTCAAAATGCTTGAGTAAACCTTTCAATTGACTGGTGTAGGTCAATATTCCAGACGCATCAGCTTTAAGTTTCTCCATTGATTTGCGGTGATTCTGTATCTTTGACTCAGTGCATTCTTCATAACTAGTCTTCTCCATTACAGTGAGCAAATAACAAAACGATTAACAGTGAACAAACCCAACCCACCAGGCAAAGATGAAGACTTTCTGAAATTTTACTGTTGAAAATCTGCAAACCTGATTCAAAAACAACAAAAGACATGAGATTTATAAGCATGAACACAAAACCCATGAAATCAAATCAAAAGGGAAACGAGAATCTTAGATCTAAAGCAAAATAAGTCTCCAGAAATGAGCACATTGTTACAAAATCAACCACACAGACGAAAGCTTTTCTTTTTTTAGTTGTGAGAGGACGAACAGAGGAAAATCAAGGCAAAGGTGAAAAACCCTAGCCTAAGCAACGACAAAAATCCTTGCTTACAATAACAGAAAAACAAGCTCAAACTGAAGTAAGAACTAAAAGCAAGTCACCTCAGAAGAACAATAAAAACCCTAACTTTGGTCTTTGAATCAAAGTGGCAACAAAATTATAAAAAAGAAAATGTAGAGAGAAACGGCGAGAAAATGAGGGTTTGAAGACAGAATGCGCAGGTTTTAGAGAGAAATAAAGTGCAAACCTAAGACTGATCTCTTTGTGCTAACAAAGTCTGAGTTTCTTCTGCTGGAGGTGGAAGAAGAAGAAGATGACAAAAGATAAATGGAGGGAGACTGAAGAGTAAAAGCAAATAATTAATGTTGTTTTCTATTTTCGTTTTCTACTAACGTCTAATTTCTTTATTGGCAAAAATTTAGTGATCGTTAGATTGAATGAAATAACAGCCGTTGGATTAAGCTGACGTTGGTTTCCCTGACTCTAATGTTGTAGCCGTTGCATTGCTAGATGGGCTGCTTGTTGTCTTGTTGGGCCTTACCATCCAACACTTGTTATATTTTTCTGATTTTTTTTTTTAATTTTATAAAAACTTATGATTATTCAAATTTCTAAAAATAAATAAATATTATTAAATTACATCCCTATCGGGTTGAATCAATTCTATAGAAATTGAAGCTAAAACCAAACACTAAAACCAAAAATCTAAAGCCGAGGACTCGAGCTAAATGCAGAATCAAGCCTTGACCCGAATCACAAAAGAGCTTGTGAGCACATGACAAGGATAGTTACCGAAACCGAACCGAAGCAACTTATAATGACAAGTAATACCTAGTACTGAGATAAAAGTTATAAATCATATGATACTACAAGTCTACAAGAAAAGTTATCATGGAGGTCTTTCCATAGTGTACGTAGTGACATAAAAAGGCTGGAGTTATGCACAGTCAAGTAAGATGCTCGATATATGTCATCATACACCTCCCTTTCCTCCTAGGAGTGAGCCGATTGGTATGTTTGTGATGAGAATGTTGTGGTTAACACCTACGCTATTGGGTCCAAAGAGATCAGATGTTATGGAGACTGCAGCTGCGAATATGAAACCTGAGCTCAGACCGATTAAGGCGGTTGCGGTTTGTAATGCTATTTGTTGTGAGGATGATATCGCTAGTAAAAAGAAAGCGATTGGAGTTGGTAAGAGTGCAATTGCAAACCAGCCGGTTCTTGTCAAACGAAATCTCCTGCAAGAACCAATATTCTTAATGAGAATCTGTTATCCAAATTTCACATTAGACATTCCTTAATCTAAAAAACGAAACTTACTTGTGCATAAAATCTGGTGCGGCAGAGAGCAATCGACCGAAGAAGGAGAATGAAGAGTAGATTGTGACGAGGGTTGTAGAGTTTGGTCCCAAAGACTGAGCAATCTGTCCCAAATTGTTGCTATAAACAAGGCCAATAGTGCCACCACAGAAATACGCAATGTAGTATAACCAAAACTCCAATCTACTTATGAGCAATCGAAACGAGTGTTCATCACCGATCCTCACTATGTTCCCTTCCTTAGCAGTCCCCATATGTTCAAACCCAATTTTGCTGGAAACAGACACTTTTTGGCTCTTGAGCTCATCTATGTTAAGCATAACATAGCCAGAGCTTTCATGGTTTAAACGAGCATTAATGACAGGAAGAAAGTAATCCCGAGCATAAATCAGAATTGTGTAGAAATATCGACGATCAACTTGTTCGCCTCGTTGAGTGCAAGGAGGTCGTCGTTGATTTTCTTCCGTATCTGTTATGAGTGCTGCTTATAGTAATCCAGCTCTGTTTTTATTCGGATCAGGTCAGTTTTTCCTCGTTCATAACTTTCTTTAACCTCCCTTTCCTCCTCCTCTTTTTCGATGATTTGATCCTCTATCCACCTCACATCTTTAACAACAGAGTCGAGTTTCTTTTGCTTCCTACGCAATTTTCGTGTAGTAGACGCTGACTGATCCTTTATCGATTCCAACTCACTCTTCTTTTCCTCAAGCTGGTTCATTAAAACTAAGTGACCGTGTAGTCTTTTCGTATTCTGTTCCTGAAGTGTGTTTAATTGCTGCTGAGAATCCTCAGATTTTTTTCCCAAATCCGATGCCTCTAAAGTGAGATTCCCCTTGCGTTGATGAAGTTCAGCAATCCCTATCCCTAGGGCTTCAATTTCACGTATTGAAAGAATCTTCGCTTCAAGTTCTTGGCTCTGTCGTTGTTGCGCTTCTTTCGCAATTAACATCCGACCTTTATCAAATATGGCGTCTCGAATTGTCTTCAACGCAGGTGGCATATCGTTCCATCTTTCTGTAACATTCTGGATTTCAGCAGCTTGCCTTGAAACATCCACAAGAGTGTGATATATCGTCTCGTTTCTCAACAAGGAGAGAAATTCGTCCTCTGCCATTGCAATAACGACTGATAATTAAAAAAAAATATAGTATTGAAAGAGATTGAAACAATTCAGATTGCGATAATATTGGACCTGTATTTGTTATCTTCCCTTGGACCTTCTTCATGGTCATATTCATGTGATCACTGCAGGAATCAGGCTGTTGAACATGCGTGGGTTTAACATCATGCATGAATTCCTCGTGTTGCTTAAGCTTGTCATCTATAGGCTTTTCCATTTCATCCATCTTTTTCTGGAGCTGAGTGTAATCCTCTGCGTTCTCCTTTATCCTCTTATTACATTCATCATCAACAGTTGTTCTCCTCTTTTTGGTCTCTCCATCTTGAGATTCTTTTTCACCAGCGGTTGAACTACTAGGTGTTAGAATATATGCGGAATAGAGGCCTAGGTTATGAGCCTAGGACGAATGAGAGTGAGCAGCTCTTGCTTCACTCCAACGAGAATCACAAGAACACCAAAAACGGGTTTGTGTGTTCATGTGTAAATCCATCAAGAGACTAACTCAACGTGAGCTATTCTTGAGGTAAAGGAAGAGTAATACACACCAATATGGGCTGTGTATACTTGAGAATAAGCATGAGAAGCAACAGCTCTCTCATACCAACAAGAACCCAAATACCCTTATAGAAACGTTTAGAGAGAATGGGAGAACAAAATTGAATAGAAGGGATGAGACCAAGCATTGCCAAATCTTGGTCTCTCCATGAGATTATCAAGACTAGAATCTACCCATTTTAGTGTAAAGAAGACGTTTTGTATAAGGGGAAGACATCCCAAATTGAGAGCTTAGTTTATTCAATGAGTATGTGTTACATATTTATACACAAATAAAAGAGACAAGTTGTCTCACTTCTAGACCTAAAGCCAACGGTCATGAGCATTCAAAGTAGCTCACTTAAAGACAAAACTACACATTTAAATGTGTAGACAATGTCTTGTAAAGAGAGAAGTGATGGGTCCAAAATATATTCAAAGCCTAAGGGATGGGCAAAGCATCCAAGGGATGGGCAACCCCTTTTTGGTTCCACATGTTCATAAAGCCTCCAAGGGATGGGTAGCCCCTTTTGGTTCCCCACATGTGGTTCCACACATGGCTTGTGCTCATTAGGTTCAATACTAGGTTCATCCCCTATGTTGCAGGCAAGGTAAGATTTCTGGCAAATGGAACAATGCATGACTGTGTTCATACATTCTCTCGAGTATGTATGCCCATGGCCACAGTTAACGCAACGCGTCCAAAACGTGTCTGCAAAAAAATTGAAGGGTCTTTGCGCCTTGGTATTAAATTTATGATCCCCAAAAAAATCACCAGCCCTCATCTTTTCCTCTGCTAACTTTTTCGCCCTCGCAGCCTCAAACGAAAGGAACCAATCACTCATATACAGTCCATGCACACAAATTCCAGACTACTTACTTTCATAATTGTGATTGATTAACCTAGAAGTTCCTGATTCTAAACCGTCACACTAAGACTCAAGAGTAAGCAAAAGACCACCATCAGATTTTTAAACAAGACTCTATGAGCACTCAACCAAAAATGTTTAACAAAACAATCAGATGATTACGAGTATGAACTGTTGATAAAGCTTGAAGAGTAACTTGAGCCATAAGTTACTAAAATAAAGGAAGAGATAATATTGAGAATATTTAGGAGTTATCTAAATATTGTTTAGGAGATATCTAAACCTAGTCCTAGCTTGTTTTGGAGTCATCAAAGATCTCTATATAAGAGTTGCCAATGTTGTGGTTAACCTTATGAGTTTTAAGAGATTGAGAGATTAGAGAGCTTTAAGTTTTGTGTAAGTTTCTTAAAGGAATAAAAGAGAGAAGTCTTTTATAGTTCTAATCTTCTAAAATCACAAAGTGTTTAAATCAATATTTGGTATCAGAGCTTTATTTATTTAAGCATCGGAGACGACCAAGTTGTGTTCATACGTGTTTCTCGTGAAATCATACCATGGCTGATATAATACCTGTACCGGACAAACCGAAAGAGATTAGTATGGGATCCATAAAATGTCTGATGCTCAACAATGTCAACTATATTGTATGGGCGATGCGTATGAAGGCAGCTCTTAAAGTTCACAAAGTGTGGGATACCATTTATCCCGGTTCTAATGATGAGGAGAAGAACGACGTGGGGAAGGCTCTTCTTTTCCAATCTATACCGGAGTCAATGGTTCTTCAAGTCGGAGAACATGATACTTCAAAAGCAGTTTGGGATGCTATAAAAGCTAGGTATGTAGGAGCTGAACGTGTTAAAGAAGCTAGGCTTCAAACTCTGATGGCTGACTTTGACAGATTGAAGATGAAAGATGGAGAATCAATTGATGATTTTGCCGGGAAGCTTTCAGAATTGTCTACCAAATCCGCAACTTTAGGAGAAGAGATTGAAGAGTCGAAGCTAGTTAAGAAATTTCTTAAAAGCTTACCAAGGAAGAGATTCATACACATCACCGCCTCACTTGAACAAGTCCTAGATCTGAAAAAAACAAGTTTTGAAGACATTGTCGGGCGATTGAAAGTTTATGAAGAACGTATAGGTGACGATGAAGAAGATCAATCTAACGATCAAAGTAAGCTTATGTATGCTAGCTCCGACACACAGACATATCAAGGAAACCAAGGATTTGCTAGAGGCAGAGGAGGAAGATTCTCTCAACGGGGAAGAGGACGTGGCCGCTACGGGAACCAACAGAGAGATGCTTCGAAGATAGTGTGTTACCGGTGCGACAAGACCGGACACTATGCATCAAACTGTCCCGACAGGTTACTCAAACTCCAGGAAGCACAAGAAGTTGACGACAGCGATACACAAGAGGCTGAGAATCTGATGATGCACGAGGTCATATACCTCAATGAGAAAAACGTGAAGCTAAGTGATTTTGAAACTTCATAAGATGAAAGCAATGTTTGGTATTTGGATAATGGGGCCAGTAATCACATGTCAGGAAATAGGTCCTATTTTCAAAAAATTGATGAAACAGTCACAGGGAAGGTAAGATTTGGCGATGATTCGCGTATATATATCAAAGGAAAGGGTTCAGTCCTCTTCATTAGCAAGAACAAAGAAAAAAAGGTCTTGGCAGATGTTTATTTCATTCCAGAATTGAAAAGTAACATCATAAGCCTTGGCCAAGCAACAGAGGCAGGATGTGATATTAGAATGAGAGAGGACTACTTGACGGTACACGATCGTGATGGAAAGCTGCTAGTGAAAGCAAGAAGGTCCAAGAATCGCTTATACAAGGTACTCATGGAGTTGGAATCTGCGAAGTGTTTACAATCAGAAGTGTTAAGTGACTCGGAGATTTGGCACGCGAGGTTAGGACACATTGGCATAGAGACAATGAAAATCATGTTGAAGAAAGAATTAGTAAATGGAATGCCAATGATGTCAATTCAAAAGGATACATGTGCTTCTTGTCTGCTAGGAAAACACGTAAGGAAAGTGTTTCCCCAAGCAACCGCATATCGAGCAACCAACAAACTTGAACTCATACATGGAGATATTTGTGGACCCATTACGCCGTCTACAGCTGCACAAAAAAGGTATGTATTCGTTCTAATTAACGATTACTCTCGCTACATGTGGTCCATACTTCTAAAAGAAAAGAGTGAAGCGTTCGAGAAATTTAAAAGGTTCAAGATGTTGGTTGAGCAAGAAACCGGCACTACCATCAAAACTTTTAGAACTGACAGGGGCGGTGAGTTCTTGTCCCAAGAATTCCAAATTTTTTGTGACAATGCCGGAATACAAAGACACTTGACAGCACCATATACTCCTCAGCAAAACGGAGTAGTCGAGAGAAGAAACAAAACGCTAATGGAGATGACTAGGAGTATCTTGAAACATATGAGCATACCGAATTACTTGTGGGGAGAGGCAGTGAGACATGCAACATACTTGATAAACAGAGTGGGTACAAGAGTGTTAGCTACACAAACTCCATATGAAGCTTTCAAGGGAAGAAAACCAAACATAGAACACTTGCGGGTATTTGGTTGCATAGGCTACACAAAAATTGAGATACCACATCTAAAAAAACTTGATGATCGATCACGTGTACTAGTTCCCTTAGGGACAGAGCCTGGATCAAAGGCTTATCGCATGTTGGATCCAACAACCCGTCGGATAACAGTGAGCAGAGACGTGTTTTTCAATGAAAACAAGAGATGGAAGTGGAACAGCTCAAGTAACGAAACTGAAGATGACGGTAAAAGCACAACTGGACATATATTCTATCTTGACGAGTATCCTATCACTTGGTGTACACAAAAGCAAGAGACCGTAGCTTTATCTTCATGTGAAGCTGAGTTCATGGCAGCCACCGAGGGAGCTAAACAAGCAATTTGGCTTCAAGAACTTCTTAGTGAAGTTGTCGGAAAACCATGTGAAAGAGTGAAGCTACTGATTGATAACAAGTCGGCAATTGCTCTTGCCAAAAACCCGGTGTTCCACGGACGTAGCAAACATATTCACAAGAGATACCATTTTATTCGTGAATGTGTGGAGAATGAGCAAGTAGAAGTGGAGCACGTTCCAGGAGAGGAACAAAAGGCCGACATTTTGACAAAAGGACTTGGAAGAATCAAGTTGAAGGAAATGAGAGATCTTGTGGGAGTTCAAGACGTGTTGAGTATCGACTTCAAGCTTAAGGGGGAGAATGTTGATAAAGCTTGAAGAGTAACTTGAGCCATAAGTTACTAAAATAAAGGAAGAGATAATATTGAGAATATTTAGGAGTTATCTAAATATTGTTTAGGAGATATCTAAACCTAGTCCTAGCTTGTTTTGGAGTCATCAAAGATCTCTATATAAGAGTTGCCAATGTTGTGGTTAACCTTATGAGTTTTAAGAGATTGAGAGATTAGAGAGCTTTAAGTTTTGTGTAAGTTTCTTAAAGGAATAAAAGAGAGAAGTCTTTTATAGTTCTAATCTTCTAAAATCACAAAGTGTTTAAATCAATATGAACCACGTCTCCAAAGACACATATATACCGGAACACTACCAACAAATGGTTGATTAACAAATGAAGAAATTGAAACCCTAGAATAAGAAGTCGAACCACCTTACACAGGAGTCAGATTCACAAGAACAAAAAGAAAAACATAAACTAAATTAAACGAATAGGAGAGTAATGAAACAAAATACCGTGGTCCGTCCTCTAGAACCTTAGAAGAGTATTGTGGCCTTTTAGAGACAGATTCTAGACCTAATTAAGTCCCAAATCAGTGACTTCTTCTGAGTTTGGAAAGTTGGCTAACCAAGGCCGAGAAGGAAGCCGGTCGGCTCCAGTCGCCTGTGGTTTATATAGACTGGTTTCGCCTGTGCCGTACCGAACATGAATATGAAATTTGAACCAAACCATGATTCAAATTTTGGACCATTTAAAAAGGAAATGATTAGCCTATGTATAAATAAACCCTTTTATTTTTGTTCATAAATATATGGTTTTCCTAATTGTACGCCTTTTGGTTAAATATTAATATACCCTAGCTAGGTTTGTATATCTTTGACCTTTTTTCCAAGAGTTTGGTTAAAAATGAAATGGAGATGTACCAGAATTACTCTATTTGAGATCTCAATAAAGAATTTACATAAAAAAAAAAAAAAAAAAAGAAGAAGAAAAAGAAGGCAAGTTGAAACCAAGCCTTCACAGTTTCTTGCATCACAAGGCTAACGT